AGAATAATTCTCTCCGAGAAACACCAATCGAGATTTCCCTTAACTCGTTACCAAATGAACATGCAAGCTTAGTCCACTCACCTAATTTCAATCCTGTACGTATCACATATAAGTAAAGGACATCCTGTCCCTCTTATTAATTTATCTCTTATCAATAGCAAGAAAGTTTGAAAAAGTATTTAAATGAGAATTAAATTCCTTTCGAATCGTCGTCTTATAATGGGAGAGAGAGAGAGAGAGAAATTTCTCATTAAACGTATACTAGAAAAGCAAAAGCAAAATGCGGTTGCCTTGTTGTCTCCCCATACTTTCAATTAAAAATATGGAAAAATTGTACATTTTAGATGCCGAGATACAAGAGTGGTATAAAGGATTTTTGAAAGACTGTCCAAGTGGGCATTTATCAGTGGAGGAATTTAAAAAAATTTATGGAAATTTCTTTCCATACGGGGATGCAAGTAAGGTAAGAACTTTGTATTTAAATTGAATTTTATAAAATTGAACAATCATGGCCGGTACTCATATTGGTAGGAAACTTATTATTCAGATGTTTTTTAGAATTTCGAAATCGACATGTATACGTATAGATTAAAAAATTCGTTTCCGAGGTCTTTCGATTAGTCTATATACGGAATCATTAGAAGTATCATGCGGGGTAATGTAGAATTCATTTACATTTAAATCAATTTCAAATATGTTTCATCTCAAGTTTCAAGAACGTTGAAAGAATTTTCGATCCGTTGATAGAGCAAACAAAACAATTAAAAATCAAAATACTGAAACTAATATATAATAATAATCAAGTAAGAGCCCTATAGTGGGCCACGGCTCACAATTAAATATCTTACACTACCTTATAAAAATTTCGGTCTTATATGAGAAATGGTCCCGTCCGAACCGTGTTCAACGACATTTTTTCTTGGACCAAAACACAATAGTGTAACAAGTGCCATCAGAATATCTCAAAAATTGCGACCTGCATGTTAAACGCAACAAAACGAGGCATTCAGACGGACAGATATTCAGAAACGTGATTCTCCATCGACCTGTATAATAAAGGGGTAGTCCATCTCAAGTCCTTCTGTGTTTTGCGTACATCCGCACAAACTCAATATACCCTTATACAACAAGTGGTGTAGGGTATATGAAAAAAATTGAAAAAAAAGAATTCGATTCAACCTATCCATCAGGAGATTTACATAATGTTGAAACTTTAGTAGAGAAGATAATAAGCAAGTCCTTTTTATTCCAATTGCGCGGACTTTGCGAAATTGGCGGCATCTTAACTGAGGCATCTGTACATCAATTTCATCACAACATCATGCCATTAGTCAGTAGTAAAGTAGATACACTCGTTTGCTTTGTGTAGTTCCGTCGACTCTGTTTAATGTGTCGTCCCGTCGAATCAACACGATATTCCAAGAGTGCTTTCTCGGCTATCGAAAATCATCAAAAATTGAGCCGAGATAAATCAATCAATTAGAGCGGCTGGAGAATGACTTAGGTTAAATATCGGATGAAAAGAAGGGCCCGAGAAGATGCACGATTAGGAGACTCGTCGAAACCACAAGCTACGCTTCAATATCAATTGTGTCGACGTAAACGATATTTGCTTGATAATTAGAAGATGTCTAATTACCAATCGACGAATTTTGAATACCGAAATTTTTGATATTGCTTTCGATATTCTGACCAAGAATGCTTTGCGCCTAAACATGACCGTAAACTGTTCAGATACATGTTCGAATCATGTTCTTTGAATGTCAATGATGTTGCCTATCAAAATCGCAGAAATCTTGACGACACGTGGAGGTACACGCTGTTTTGCTCGTTGCTGAGTATCCATTCTTTTCGGCAGATATCAAATGATTGCCAGGACTTTCAACGTCTTCCTTCTTTGAGCAAATTATACGAACCGAAAGCATTAGCTGCAGGCAGTGCAACATTTCGTAAGCCGAAATTCCATTTTTGAACGTGGCGCAATGTGATACAATTTCGTTGCTGAAAATGCACTTGTCTAGGCGTAAGCAAGCAAACCCGCAAAATTTAAATGGAAAGGTCCTATTATATGACTTTTCGCACACTCGTAGCAATTTGTCCTTTTATTTACAGAAGGAGACAAATGCTAAGCCAAAGCCTTCAATCTTTAAATGAATAAATGGAAACATTAGTTCGATTAGTTATATTAGGGATTAATTAGTTTTTATCACATAATGCACTGAGGGGTCATACTTAAGCATTCTCATTGTTTGCCAAGTAGTAGATAACCTATGAATGGTCAGTGTGTTTTAAGGTGTTTATCATTTGATTAAAGTCCCTTTCTATTTCATTACATTTTCAGTTTGCTGAACACGTTTTTCGTACATTTGACGCAAATGGCGATGGGACCATTGATTTCAGAGAATTTCTCTGTGCTCTCAGTGTTACATCGAGAGGAAAATTAGAACAAAAATTGAAATGGGCCTTTTCAATGTATGATTTAGATGGAAACGGATACATTTCGCGCCAAGAAATGCTCGAAATAGTAACGGTGCGTATAATTATATTTTTCTTACTTTATTCTCAAATATACAAAAATGTGAATTAGGAAGCATTTTACCGTTACAGAGCAGAAATGGACGAACCGAAACTACCAATTCTGCAAATCCTCTATCAACTATCTCTTATTCTTTAGACATGAAGGGATCAATATTAAATCGATAGTCGGTCTAACATAGAAAGAGCTGCGTTTAAAACAGGTCCATTGTCCATTTTTCCGCTCCTGGAATGTCCAGAAGTGAAAAAAGTTACAATTCGTTACAATTTAGCTAAAAAATAGAAGAATTTGACTTGATTTAAAAAAAAAAATTGATAATTTACTTGAGTAAAAATTAATGTTCGGCGCATATATGTTCAATTCGATTACAAAGCCGAAGTTTTGTGCCGGTAATGGCAGTAATTCACCTGATTATTTACGTCTAGTTCATGCTACTACTCTTTGCAACATATCATCCTGTTCTGGTTATCATTAGCCTATGGTTGAATAGATAACCAACACTCTTCCGCAATGTCTCCAAGACCTTATGAACAGAGAGTATAGGTTATGATCTTCATACTTTTGGTAAACACTTGCCGTCTTTTCAAATTCGGAATGGCTTTCTATCTTATACCCGAATTCATTTAACACAATCGAAATTCTGCTTTATATTTTCTATAGTTTCCATTGTGCCAAGTTATCATCCATTCGACTCGCACTGATAATCTTCCCTATACTAGATTTTAGACCGAGGTGTAATAATCAGTGCATGAACCATTGTAATAATGCTGTTTGTTAGCAATGTTGTGACCCCACAATGTTGGTGTTTAATTTTGGGGCTGCTTGACACTTTATGAGGATAGGAGGCTGACAAGATCCATGTAAGCACTTTTGCTAAGCTAGCTAGCTTATGAGAAGACATTTACACCTAAGAAAATAGCATGTACTTACCCTTCAACGAACACGTGGACGGAGCAAACCTAACCTACCGAACGAGTATACTCTCCCTCGGACTTTCATTATCCGCTCTACCTAATGGTCTCTTTCGGCCAATAATTTCTATGGAAGACCCCGAAATATTTTTCATCTTACCGTTTCACGTTTCACAATTAAAACGTCCCGCCATTCCTCCATCCCTCGATCGGGAAAACCCAGATCAACCAAAAACTTGGAAAAATGGCGTCAAAACGTCTTCTGCCGTTAAACTCTTTCTCCTGCGAGAACTTAACAATCCTCTCAATACATGGTTGCATTCTTTTTAAAAAAAAAAAAAAAAAAAAGAAACCTCCTATTACACCATCTTCGTTTTCTTGCAGCCTTGAGAGCAACATCGAGCCAAATATGCTACATGGCTTGGATTACTGTCAGTAAGCTATATTGATAATAATCTCTTAAAAACCAATCTTTATTTTAGAGGATGCATAAGTTATCTTAACGTGCTATTTAAACGCACTCTGCGTATTTGGACCGTATACGTTCAACCTTTTAACTTGGTCGAAGCGAGGCAAGGACAAAAACATCAACGACGAACTGGTAAAGTGTTCAATAATTTCGAGGACGATGATAGCAAAATCTACTATGTTTCTATCGCATGAAGAGTGTAGATTAATTGTCTTCTGTAAAGCGCTTTGCGATTCTTGTTTATTCAGTGCATTAATCCATCCATTAATTTTCAGTCCCACTATCACTGCTGTGTATGGATCACAAATACTAACAACTTACTACAAGCTCGGATTTCTGATATTGTGCTGAGGGATATATTTCGCAGACGTTTAAATTGTTAACTGGCTTCACAAACATTGTCCCTATGGTGACCGTATTTGTAGAGTGTTCTTTACTTTATTCTTACTCAAATATTTACTTTGATTAACTTCTGAAAGTTTTTGCTTGTGCGTCCTCTTAGTTGGGTCTAACTTTTGCAATTATCCGAAAGAATGCTATGATATCGACTCTTGAAAGTTGTTATGAAAACCGGCGCTTTTTCTAAGTCATGTATTATTTTTTACTATAATCTCAAAAATTTGAATTTAATGAAAGTTAAAAAAATTAAGACGTAAGTTTTCTTTCATTTCTCTGTCTCTATGAGTCATTTTTCGTAAGAACTTCTTCATACGACACATTGATCCAGTAAAACTTCAAGTTTTTGATTCTGAAATATATGTTGTTTACAATTTCTTATTAGCCATAACGACGATCAACTCTCCTATTTCATCTTTCCCTTTGCCTTTATTGATTCCAATATTTTTGAATGCAATGTTATCAAGCCCAATGAACTTATTTTGCTTCTTTTTTTAGTGCCTTCATTATATTGAGAGCACGATGTCGAGAGAAAGAATTCTTATTTAGTTTCCTTGGCTTCAATTCACTTTTGAGCTGCTCGACTTGCGATTCCCTAAATTGTACTTTTGAACTCAGGTATAGGTCGAGACAAATTGTAATTAGAAAAATCAAGAATCAATATCTGATGAACAAATCACGGAATAGTGCATCCGAATTTAATACTACTCATTTTCCTTGGTCAATGGATGCAATACGTGGTCGAGCGTTTTCATGTTAAGAAATCATTTTATCACGTTTTCCAGGGTGTCCTGTCGCTGGGAATCACCAATGGTTTCGCATCGGCTATAAAAACCTGAATTCTGGGAACGAACAAGTTTTAGATATACTTTATCATACGTGTGACCCATGGCAAGTCAATTGACTGAATTAATTTCTTAAAAGTACAGCGTATGAAGCCGATGCATTGCAACGAGTGTTATCAATATTGGATGTTTGTACTATTTATCATTCTCCTCCTTTTCGAGTAATATTTTCAACGGCCGAATGCTTTAAAATTAATAAATATATATATTTTTTTTTATTTATTTATTTTTTTTTTTTGTTGTTGTTGCTTAAAAGCATAAAGGGACGCGATCAACGTGTCTGTGCGAATTATTAATTAATTCAGAATTTGTTATGAAATTAATTTTTAAATTTAATAAAATTCAATTCATTTTCTCTTGCAATAAATGTAAATAAATAATTTTTCCTTTCAGGCTATATATAAAATGGTAGGTTCAGTAATGAAGATGCCTGAGGATGAAAGCACACCAGAAAAACGTACTGATAAAATATTTAGGCAAATGGATCGAAACAAAGACGGCAAATTAAGCCTTGAAGAATTTATAGAAGGTGCAAAAAGTGATCCATCTATAGTTCGTTTATTACAATGTGATCCTCAATCACACTAACTTAAGTTAATTAATTAATCAATAAATGTTTGAATTACTGTGAAAAACAATTATATTTCCATCAAAGTTCTTAACGTTTTAGATTAAACGCCATAATTATAGTAAAGGATATTTTCATTTTCTCTAATATTAAAAAAGAAAAAACTAAAAAAAAAATAAGAACTATCTTTGGATTGTTACCTCGATAATTTAAAACGTTTTCATTTTCCTTCTCTTTTCCTTTTTCTAGCAATAAATTGACGAATGGATTAAACGAATACGCAAGCGCCAAGTCTTGTACTGTTTTCTACTTTCTCTCTGTTGAGTGATATTCCGCACGCCTCGAAGATCGTTTGCCTCAACAAAATAAAAAAATATCGGTCAATGATATTCGAATGTCATCATATTTATTTTCTCGCCTATGCTTATCATGTCTATTGACTGTTGATGGATGCGCGCACGTTAGGTCTGTAAATCCAGTCATAACATCTTGATGCATCCGTCCGTTATCTGCGCTTGAAATGATCGCTCTTATGATAACTGGTATAAAAAGCTGAAACGTCCTTTCTTAGTTGATAGTCGTTCATTAACCAGTGAACCGCCGTACGCCAAATATACTTCCAATTTACAAACTATGCTAAATAGGGATCTCAAGAAGATATTTACTAAGGCCTCTCTCTCTCTCTCTCTAAACGTTCAGTGCGAAAAGAATTCGCATCAACTAACCGAGGCGCTGGCAATTCATAATCATATATATATACCTTTCATTTATGTAAAGAATATCGCTTAAACGGTTACCACGATTTCGTGTATAAGATACTGGCATCTTCTCGCAGTCAATTTGAACTCATCAATCTGAACTTTATTTCGAGTACTGGGCTTAAGATCTCGAATTACGCTTGATGAGGAGTGTTACGCTCAGGGAAGAGTGTCATGGTGCCACGTTAGAAGACCTCTGCAGACGTCTTCTTTCGTCTCATTTAATTGCCGAACTTATCGCGTGCTGTATGTGCGACGTTTAGAGGGATATTGTTCGAAATAAAGTTCAAAGCTCGACTCAGTTCCAACCAATTAATCTGTAAAACGGATCAATTAATTACTTTTGCACGGTGCTAAAGAAGACGGATGGACTAATTCGATAATCACGCACATTACCATAGCAGCTCTCATTAGAGCAACAAGAAACAAGAGAACGGATGTCCCAGACACTATATATATACCTCCGATGATGGGTCTTGGATATTGAAGAGAATACATTTTTTTTTAATTTGTAATCATTGCCTTAAGTGAACGGACTAAAATCACATTATTGCCTTTGCTATCGGCAAGAGACGACAAATGCGCTCTTCGAAAGCGTTTTAAGGTCTGCAGCAAAATTGCAAAGCCTTGGTAACGAATTTACCAAAGTGAATATAGTCCACCAATTAGTTCACGTATTTGAGGTTTATCTCTTCGCAAAGTTAAAAAAAAGCGAAGCGTGCATATGCACCACAAAGTAAGCCTTCAGTCATTGCCATTAACTGACATGTACAGTTAGAGTGCAAACACTGATCTCTGAAAGAGTCCATTATACAAATCGAGTTACAATAAATTTTCGAGACATAGTGCTGGTCCAATTTTTCGATATGTCGGGATCAGAAAACCGTAATTTAATTAAATTAATACACTTTGTATTTTTCTAACTTTTCCCCAACTTTATACATTCACTTTAGGGTACATATTAACAAAACATGACTGTTTTTTATTTATGTTTGCATATCGTCTTTTTTAGTCGGTTCTTAGAATCAGTTTGTTATTTTTTCAATATCGTGATGAAAATAGCCCAACTTCTTGGCCAAGACTAGAAGGACTATCGCACGTAGTCTAACTTTTATCCCAATTCGAAGTCAGTATCTGCATCTTCTATAGATCACAGTTATACAACTACACTAGCTGTTCCGACGAGCAGCTACACAAGATCGATCTAAAACAAATACTCTGAAAATATTTATTGTATATATATATATATATATGCATATATAGTGGAATTTGAATTTGAGGAA